CATGGAAATTAAAAATGAAATTTCAAAATATATTAAATATACAAGGTGATATAAAAAAGTGCAACCAACTTCAGACTGCTGTCATTACTAAGCCACTAATCTGACAGCTGTTAAAATTATTCCAGTGACAGCTCGTTATATTGTTTACAAGTGTACAAAAGCATTTTGGTGAGAATTTTCCAGAAAAAAAAGTTAATCGTGATGGAATTCAAGCGTGATAGTGTGATTTCTTTATATTTGGCAGGAAAATCACAAGTGACTATCGTTAGAGCACTCCAGCATTTAAATGTAAATAAATCTTTTGTGTTTCGTACCATCGCTCATCACCGTGATATTGGTAGCGTAGCCTGACGTCAAGGAAGTGAACGAAAGAAAACAGCAACATCAGCAGAAATGGTTCGAAAAGTAAAGAAGCGACTTGATCGAAACCCTCGTCGAAGTGGCCGAAAAATGGCTCGTGTGCTGAACATATCTGCAATATTTCATTCGGCAAATATTAAAAAATGAGGTCGGGGTAAAGCCATTGAAATTCCAAAAAGTGCAGGAACTTGCACCGCAGAACTTGCACAGAAAGAAAATATACTAAAAAGAGCTAAAGAGTTGCTTCGCTTAGCCGAAAGCAAAACATTCCTTGTCCAGCGGTTTGTAAACAAACAAAATGATCGTGTTTACTTGCCAAAGAGGTCAGCTGAAAATGTGCACCTTCGGTTGGCCACCAGAACTCAAGCGCCGGTCGTGGTGATGGTGTGGTCCGCCATAACAGCCAATGGCCGCTCTCCGCTCGTATTAATCGACTATGGTATCAGAATAAATGTCGAATATTATCGCGAAAATATTCTGGAGGGTGTATTAAAGCCTTGGACACATTTTGGCCGCAGACCTTGGACATTCCAACAGGACTCAGCACCATCGCACTCAGCACGCGCCACCCAAGAGTGGTTACAAAATTAGGTTCCTCGCTTTTTTTCCAGCGCAAAATCTCCGGATACCAATCCGCTGAACGATTGTGTCTGGAGTATTTTAAAAAGCAAGGTGGGCACTAAAAATACCAAAGTGTCGATCACCTCATGCAAGCGCTTCACCGGGAACGTGCTAAATACCGCAGAGCAACATTCAGGCAGCGTGTGACGGTTTCATTGGCCGTTTGAAGGCCATAATTCGTGCCAAAGGTGACCAATTCGAACAAATCTAAACTTTTTCTAAAATTTGATACTATTTCGGACATTTTTCACTTTCATTCAATAAAATTTTTTTAAAATATGTAAAAATTATGGCGTTTGACTTTGTTGCAGTTTAATATCTCACCCTGTAAAATGGCATCCTTTAAAAATGATAGGTTATGTTTGCAATAAAATATCAAAATACACGCAATCAGCTAAAGGAAATTATTTACATTTTGTTTGCAAAATGTGTTTAAGCCTTTATTTTCAATTACAGATTTCAAAACTTTAAACAATCTCTTTATAGTTTTCATTTATATTACATTCATAAAATATGCCCACTGTTTTTGGTTGCAAAATTTTATCCATCTATCCATAGGTTATAATTTATTTATTTTTTTTTTTTTTTGTTAATTTAAATTGCAAAAATAATTACTACATGTGAATAAAAACAAATTACTATCTCAACACAAAATTGATTGTTTAGAAAGCTCTATACTAAATTGCATAATTTCAAACTCCAATAGATATGGAAATTAATCAATTGGGTGTTTACGGCAGCAGGTTTTTGTATACGAAAAAAAAAGAGTTATTCAAACAAAACCGCAGACATCGTGAATATAAAGAAAAGGCCCCACTATAATTTATGTATAAAGAAAGCTTAAGAAAAAATTAAAATAAATAAATGAACCACCGCACAGGTTAATAGCAGTGAGTATAAAAACAAATTGAAAACCGCACGCATTCACCGCCACTATTTGTGACATAATACAACTTTTTCGCATGCTTTATAAAATGGTATACGTCGAAGCTGTAGCAACATGTAGCAAATATTGAATCGAAATTACTCATGATGATGGCGACGATGACGTTATATTGAAGCAATTTAATGTGGCTGTTTCATGTCGTCGATGATATCAAGTAAATATTGCTTTGAGGCTGTTAAACAACATGTTAACATGTACATAACAGCAGGATGTTGGTGTAGAAATGTTAACACAAAACAGGATATTTGTTTGTAACGAAGAAAAAATGGGAAAAAGAGGTAAAAAGCCTACACAATTTGGAAATTTTCTAAAAATGAAATCAGTTAAAGATTCTGTTAAAATCTTAAAAATACCAAACATAGCCGTTATATTGGGGTCTATACGAAGACGTGGACCTGCATGGGCAACTTTTGTCATAGATCAATACAATATTCAAATACGAAACTTAACATGTAAAAAAGCTGTAAGTACGGCGGCCCGAACTTTTAATACCTTCCACCATTTGGAATGAATTTGGTAATTTTCAAAAATAAGATCGGTCAAAAATTCTGTTAAAATCTTAAAAATACCGAATGTAGCCATTATATTATAGTCTACGGTGGACCTGCATAGGCAACTTTTGTCATACGCCATTACAATATTCAAATGCGAAACTTGAAAAAAGAATCGGTGAAAAATATAGATAAAATCATCAAAGTACCAAATATCGGGAGGCGCCGTTATATGGGGGCTATACGAAGACGTGGACCTGCACAGACAATTTTTTCTCATAGGCAGCAGTATCCATTTCGAACTTCAAATATCAATTTTGAAACAATTGGTTGAGGGTATATAAAAAGACTACAAAAACGATAACTGGGTAAACTTCCACTCTATTTTTAATTTTTTTTTTTACTGCCAGATTCAAGTATTAAAAATACTTTTTGTATTTTTTATGAAGGTTTAAGCATTGAAATATGAAACAAAAGAGAAAATACAATAACCTCAACTTTAGTAGAACCTTCAACATTTTAATTATTTCCACCATAATCAAGACTCTCACTTTTACTACCCATTGGAAGGAACCGCAAAACGGGTTTACTTTCCAAAGAAACATTTGTAGAAAAAAAAGTAAAAATGTCATTACAGTTTACCACAAACCTTGTTTTTAAAAGGGGAAAATTATGAGTCTTATTAAATTAAAGTTACCCTGGAAAAAGCTTCAGCATTTCTATATACACTATTTGTATGGAAAAATTATGGCAGAATTAAAGAAGGAATTATGGTAGAAGAAAAAAGTATTCGCGATGGAATTCAAGCCTGATAGTGTGATTTATTTATATTTGGCTGGAAAACCACAAATGACTTTCGTTAGAGCACTCCAGCATTTGAATGTGAATAAATCTTTTGTACCATCGCTCGTTACCGCGATGCTTGTAGCGTAGGCCGACGTCAAGGAAGTGGACGGAAGAAAACAGCAACATCAGCAGAAATGCTTCAAAAGTAAAGAAGCGACTTGATCGAAACACGCATCGCAGTGGCAAAAAATGGCTCTTGAGCTGAACATATCCCAATATTCCATTCGGCAAATATTGAAAAATGAGCCATTGAAGTTCCAAAAAGTGCAAGAACTTACACCGCAACAGAAAGAAAATGGACTCAAAAGAGTTAGAGAGCTTCGCTTGGCCGAAAGTGGTGAACTGCCGAATTTGGTTTTCTTCGATGAGAAAACATTCGTTGTCCAGCAGTTTGTAATCAAACAAAATGATCGTATTTACTTGCCAAAGAGGTCAGCTGAAAATGTGCACCTTGGGTTGACCACCAGAACTAAAACGCCGGCCATGGTAATGGTGTGAGCCCCCATAACAACCGATGGTCGCTAGCCGCTCGTATTAATCGACCGTGGCATCAGAATAAATGCCGAATATTACAGCGAAAATATTCTGGTGGGTTATTTAAGTATTTGGTACGCAAACATTTTGGCCGCAGACCTTAAAAATTACAACAGGACTCAGCACTCGCCACCCAAGAATGGCAATAAAATTCATTGGCCGTTTGAAGGCCATAATTCGTGCCAAAGGTGATCAATTCGACCAAATCTATACTTATTTTAAAATTTGATGCTATTTCCGACATTTCTTGCTTTCATTCAATAAGGTAAAAAAATAATAAAAATTATAGTGTTTGACTTTGTTACAGTTTTTTATCTCACCCTGTATATATAAAGTCTAACGTTATCTTCTTATTTCCACAGGCATACACATTTCAAGGAGCTCTCTGTATTCCCGCAATAAACTTAAGAATAACCTTGTGCGAAAAATCTTATAAAATTGTGTGGTTCATATAAATCTGGGTAAATTTTACTGTTTTGGGTACAAAAATTTGATTAGAACTGCGAAAGTAGCACGACTGTGAAATACCTGCCGATAATTTTAATCTAAATAACATTGTTTTTTATCTCTCACTTTTCCAACCCTCAATTTGTCAGGTAGATTTCTAAAATGTATGTATCTTCTTCATTTATTTCTACAATCACGTTCTGTGCACATCCCACAACTTCCTTTCATTACAAATTATAATTCCAACTGTGTTTTGTTTACGCACACCCGAATATAGCAATACCCAAACAACAACAAAAATGTAAAAACCTTATCTCCCACCCGGTATTCTTCATTGACACAACAATAACAGAGAAAGAGAGAGAGAGGAACGTGAGAGAAAAGTAACAGTGGTAACAAAAGCAATAATAAATATACACACTGACACACAATATGAAACCATAAACATCAACCCCATCGTGGTCGTCGTCATCATCTTCATCGATGTTATGTTTTTATCCGGCAATTCTCATGACAACTTCTCTATCTCTCAATAGAACCCAATGGGCAATATTCACAGCACAGGAGAGAAAAGGACAACAATATGAGAACAAAAACTGACGTAATCCCAATAATAATTTTTCTTTTGTGGGACTTTATGTCGCCGCCGTCGTAGAAAAGAAACACAAAAAAACAATAACAAAATAAACTCTAATTAAGAAAATATTAATATTATTAAAGAATTAAGAATAACATCTTTTTAGTTATTAACTAACCTCCATGATTCTCTTGTATTTTAGTTTGGGTGTTTTGTTATTTCTCTGGTTCTTTTGCTTCACTGGAATATGTCTCGTTTTTCTTGTTCTATTGACCTTTTTTCACGATTTCTTTTTTATTTCAAGTTAATCTCACTTTTTTTTTTCAAGTTTCTATATGAAACTAGTGTTATGTTTGTTTTTTATGGAATTATGTAAAAAATATTGCACTTTGAGAACTTCTTTATTGTGAAATAATTATTCTTTGTAAGAAAAATTAATATTTTGGGCGTTGACTTTGTATTTTATTTGTTCGTTTGTTTATTATCTTCACAAGACAACACAAAAAGTTATTCTCTATTAACGAGATTAAAAGTAGGCTTTTGTTGAACAATTGGCTTGTGTCTTTATAAATAAATAAATACTTCATGGAATGTTTAATTCATTAATAAATGCTTATGTTATTGTGCTTTTAATTCGATATCATTGCCAGCTCTTTTCGGTAAAAGAAGAAAATATGACGGACTCGACGAAACTCGCGTGCACTCACACTCAAATCACAAATATAACTGAAGTAGGGATACTTAAGTCGACTTTCGACTTTTGGTGTTGAAAATTCTGATAATCGAAGTAGATGATGAAAATCGAAAAGTATACTATTCTGTAATCGATTTTGGGATAATAGATCTTCATACGATCGATGTGTAATACATTTATTAAGCCTTATTTACACCAAACTTGTTTTTATTGATCGCGTTGTTTAGATTCTTAATTAATATGATAATATTCAATAAATAAATGACGAAGCTCCGTAAAACGCCTGATTGTGGTGTCGGTACAGTAGACTTAACGCTTTTTGTTCTAACATTCTATTCTTGTAATAACACATATCAATTAGTAAAAAATTGTCAATCTGTGGCTAAACTACTCGTCCAAAAAATTAAAATCGATTTTTGTCGAAAAATATATTAAGCCAGCTTCTCTTCGTCATTTATTTGACGTATAATCAAAGAAGTTGCCAATTTTAATAAGGCGTTTTATGAAAACATAGAACATTCAGTAAAGATTACGTAAGCAGCTTGGTATGGTTGCATGATATACAAACGTCTAAATTTTACACTAATTTTCTCCACACAATTGAAAGCAAGAAAGCAAATAACAAAAATCAACTGGAAAACAAGATTGATAATTTAAGCTACCGATGTTATCGATAACAAATGTGGTTTGTGCGTATTCTAGTGGAATGCATGGAAACGAAACATGTAAACATGTTTACAGACGAAATTCCCTTAAATGACTCACCGTAATCGGATCATAAAAGTTGATTTAAAATAAATAATAAATGAAAGTAGATATTTTGTAAAGTAGATTTTAGGTGTTATGGATTCTTTATTTTTGAAATATGGTCAGTCTGGTTTTCCCCGGAAATTTGTAACTATTTTTTGTGTTTGACAAAAAGAAGAATTTATGTAATATATTAATAAAATACTAACAATTCTCGCTGATTCCACATTATTCAGGTAAAATTACTATTCTATGAACACCTAAATATGTTGGGATTTTTCTCAACCTGATGAAAAGGGTTATAAATATGCCATAAATAGTAATAATATTTATGACGGTATAGTATTTCACATTACCTATTCCACATAAACGATATAATGTTTCTTTCATGTTTCCAAACAATTATTTAACCCACTCATGCTCTTTACAATTTAAAGTTTAAATTCTAAACAAACAGCGTCCACGATTCGCTGTTTACCTGACTTCCCATATCCATTCTTTACACAAAATATTTTTGATATTAAGTGTAAAAAATTCCTTATTGACAAAAACGGTATTAGATTCTTCATTTCAGTTATGGACTTAGGGCTAAATGCATTAAGAGCGTTGAGCCATTAGACTTAATATTGTGTCGAGAAACAGATATATGAGATCTATATCTGAACCGGTTTTAACCAAATTTTACGTACCCATTTATAGGCTACAAAAAATCGAGATTTTTCTTAAACATTTCAAATATTTGTCAAAAAAATTCGAGTTTTTTAAATATAAAAGCTGTATGTTCGGCCGAGCCTTTGCATTCCCTTCATATGGAACGAATTTGGCAATTTTCAAAAAAAAAAAAAACGTTAAAAATTCTGTTAAAATCTTCAAAATACCGACTGTAGCCGTTATATTAGGGTCTATACGATGACGTGGATCTGCATAGGAAACTTTTGTCATAAGCCATTACAATATTCAAATGCGAAACTTGAAAAAAATCGGTGAATAATGTATCTAAAATTATCAAAATACCGTATATAGGGAGGTACTATTATATGGAGGCTGTACCAAAACGTGTACCTCCACAGACAATTTTCTGTCATAGGCTGTAGTATCCATTATGAACTTCAAATACCAAATTTGAAATGGTATTTGAAGTGTTACAAACGGAATGGCAAACTTAATATACCCTCTATATTATGGTGTAGGGTATAAAAATATAATAATAGAAAATGTTGACTTTTTGTCACACAGTGTTATTATGATATTATTATTATTATTATTATTATTATTATTATTATTATTATTATTATTATTATTATTATTATTATTATTATTATTATATGACATAATATACGAACGAGTTTGGTTTTCTGCTTCATTTTGGCCTAAATTATCCAAAGTCATTTAAAGTATGCAATTTTTGTCTGGTTTATTTTTAATAAATTGTCATCTGTTGTATTGTATATTACGGTTTTAGGAAACTTAGGAACAACATCGGATAAAACATATATGTAAATGGAGGCTATATCTTATCTTATTTCCTCCAAATACTTACTTCTAGACTGAATTTGATAGCCTCTGCTAAAATGCATTCAATTTTAGAATAATATCACACATTTCGTGACCAACTACTTGAAATCGAACGAAGATATACGGGGTGAGATATAAAACTGCAACAAATTCAAACGCCATAATTTTGACATTTTTTTTAATTTTATTGAATGAAAGCAAAAAATGTCGGAAACATCATCAAATTTTAGAATAAGTTTAGATTTGTTCGAATTGGTCACCTTTGGCACGAATTATGGCATTCAAACGACAAATGAAACCGTCACACGGTGTTCGAATGTTGCTCTGCGGTATGTTAGCTCATTCCCGGCGAAGCGCTTGCTTGAGGTGATCGACACTTTGGTATTTTTTAGTGCCAACCTTGCTTTCCAAAATACTCCAGACACAATAGTCCAACGGATTGGTATCCGGAGATTTTGGTGGCCCTTGTGCGCTGGAAATGAAGCGAGGAAACTAATTTTGAAACCATTCTTGGGTGGCGCGTGCTGAGTGCGATGGTGCTTAGTCCTGTTGGAACGTCCAAGGTCTGCGACCAAAATGTTTGCTTGCCCAAGGCTTTAATACACCCTGCAGAATATTTTCGGGATAATCTTTGGCATTTATTCTGATGCCATGGTCGATTAATACGTGCGGAGAGCGGAGATCGGCTGTTATGGCGACCATCACCATGGCCAGCGCTTGAGTACTGGTGGCCACCGAAGGAGCACATTTTCAGCTGACCTCATTTTGTTTGTTTACAAACTGCTGGACAACGAATGTTTTCTCATCGGAGAAAACCAAATTCAGTTCAGCACTTTCGGCCAAGCGAAGCAACTCCTTAACTCTTTTGAGTCTATTTTCTTTCTGTTGCGATGTAAGTTCGTGACCTTTTTGGAATTTCAATGGACTTACCCCGAGCTCATTTCTCAATATTTGCCGAATGGAATATTGCGTTATGTTCAGCTCACGAGCCATTTTTCGGCCACTGAATTTGGTAGATCGTGCCAAAATTCAGGTCATTCGGACTGATATTAGCCATTTGGTGCACAATTAACTCAAAATCGGTTGAAGATATATATGGGAGCTATATCCAAATCTGAACCGATCTCGATAAAATTTGCCAAAGGTCTTTGTGGGCTCTATCTGATATCTGGTGCCAAATATCATTGTTGTCAAATGCATTATTACTAGACAAAATGCATTCTGAACAAATGGTTTGTGGCTTTACTACCTTGAATAACAGCTCATGACAGAGGCAAGTTAATATAAAAAACACAATTATAGGAAAGAATGACAAATACAAATTTGGATAATCCAAAATATTGGTTTCAAAATTCTATTCCATATACCTTCCCAAATAATTGCATACTGCCTTAGCGGTTTAAATTGCTTAACATTGTTAACTATGTTGTTACGATATCATAACAACAGAGGCATTTTTCACAGGGTTGCCATATTTTACTCTGTCTTGTCCTATCTTTACACTTCTATGTCTTTGCCCATATTACGGTACCCCCGATATTCGATATTTTGATGATTGTAGCCAAATTTTTAATGAAATTTTCTGAAACTCCTCACAAGGAGTTTCTTCTGAGTTTACCCCCTAGAAGAGTATTGTCTACATAGGTCCACGATATATCCCCCATATAACGGTACCTCCCTTTATTCGGTATAATCATAATTTTACCTACATTTTCAATGGGATTGTTTGAAAATTCACACAAGAAGTTCTTTCTAAGCAACAAGGTTGAAAGAGAATTGTCTATATAGGTCCCCAAAATCGTATAGCCACCATACAACAGTACCCCCGATATTAGGGACATTATTCACCGGAGTCGTTTTAAATTTCCTATTTAGATTTCGTAATGAGAACTACAGTCTACGACAGAAAATTGTCTATGTAGGTCCAGGTATTCGTATTGTCCCCATATATCGGTACCCCCCTATCTATATTCGGTATTTTGACGATTTTAGGTACAATCCTCATCGAACTTGTTACAATATTCACCGAAATTGCATAATTGAAGTTCCTAATAGGTACTACAACCTGTGACAGAAAATTGTCTATGCAGGTCCAGGTCTTCGATCCGGTATTTTGACGATTTTTTTATGCAAAACCGTTTGAAATTTCCTATTTTGAGTTCTGAACAGGTACTACAGACAGTGACAGAAAATTGTCAATGCAGGTACAGGTCTTCGTATAGCCTCCATATATCGGTACCTCTCCATATTCGGTATTTTTATGATTTTAGCGACATTTTCGCTGGAGTTCTCTCAGATTTCATATTTAGAGTTCGTAAAGAAAATTACAGTCTTTGACAGAAAATTGTCTAAACAGGTCCAGGTTTTCGTATAGGCCCCATATAACGGTACCTGCCTATATTCGGTTCAATATTCACCGAAATTTTTTGAAATTTCGTATTTGAGTTCCTAAAGATCTAAGACAAAAGTTGCTGCCAAAATGTGCAATTTGTTACAACTAAACGGATTTTCTTGCAGGTTCTGGAACCCTGTTTAAGGCCAACTCAACCTACATAAAGACTATAGGTACAACTAAAACACAACTAACATCGATAGGTAAAAATAACATACGTTATACAACACTGTTCTGACGTGTGTGTGTGTGTCTTTGATAATAGAATAGATCAAAATTCTTCCTTGCGTGGGTCATGTCTTTGCTAAACCAACTTAACAACTTTACATTTTTGTAAACTGTTATAATTCTAATTAGAGCAAAACTCGACAG